AAGGACGCTACTAGGGGCTCTTGGCCGTACTACTAGGAGCAAGTAGCTACTAGTAACAAGAAGTTACTAGGGGCTCCTGGCATCGCTACTAGGAGCAAGGACGCTACTAGGGGCTCTTGGCCGTACTACTAGGAGCAAGTAGCCACTAGTAACAAGAAGCTACTACCAACAATGAACGACGTTATGCTGGTCCGGTCACCTCTCGGTGTGCTCCCTTTCGACCAAAAGAAAGCGTACTAGGGGCTCCTGCCGCACGGCCCAAGCGAACCCAATTCGGACAGGACTGTTGATCGGACCAAGGACATGGGGTGGGCACGGTCGGAGTTCGCGGTGCGCTCTGTGCCAATGTGTTTCTTTTTGTGAAAGCTACCCGCAACAGAAGTGAAGGGTCTTCATCTGGAATGTTCACTATATTACAGGTACTACAAGTATGATCCAGGATGAGCCACAAGCATGAGAACCTCTTTCACGTTGACCTTCTTTCCACAGCCTTCGAGGTATTCTTCACAAGGATCACAATGCTGTGAGTCTTGTAGACAGTGGGAATGGATGGAATTGTGGAGGAATCTGCAATGGTCTCTTCATAGGAATATGCTTGGTCATCGATGTGGAAGCACAGCTTCTGCACCTCAGCCTGCAGAAGCTGATCGACTTCGATCTCGACGAGCCGGATCGGTCACAAGATTTGAGCTGTTCAAAACCACAACTACGAACGGGGCTCCTGGAGCATGGATGTTCGTCAATCCCTTTCACAACCAATCGTCGGTTTCTGAAACAAATGGAGATAGTTTCGGACCTCCGGGCCGAGCGATTCCCAACGGAGCCTTCGCAGAAACCAACGGAGGCTTCGCAACGTCCATCGTGGAAGAACAGTCTTAAGCTGGTGGTGTTGGAGTTTTCTATAGACAAAAACAATCATCAAGTTTGAGTGTCTATATCAAAACAACCGAAAACTATATGCTAATCTATGAATCGACCTTATATATATATAGGTGTGTGTTGTGTATTTTTCCGAAGCTTTTCTTCTCGGTGCCTTCAAACCGAACTTGACCTCAAAGCATGTCTCCACCGCTGGTTGCCAAGCACCAGCATCACTGGGCCGCAAGACCATCGCCAGTGGCAGATTCCGCTCCCGTACGGAGCCGTCGGGATTCATCACCGACCTTGAACCGAGGTTGAACCGGTCCGGTCGGACCGACGTACGGTCTTGTCTCACCACTCCGACGGGACGCGAGTCATCCGTATCACGAAATAAAGCGGAGACGGTTGAAGTTGGAAAGGGGTGTGTGTTGTGTCTTTTTCTCTTGGTGCTGTGAGAACATGATGTATTTGTCCTAAAGCTTGACGGTCTATACTGTTCTTGGAGTTGGTTCTTCAAGACTGGCCGAAGCTTGGCCCATCTGGTCACTCATTTGATCAAAAGGTCTATTTAGCACTGCGGAATGCTTCCAAAGTCCTTACAGTATATATTACGTATGTTGTTGTAGCTCTATATATAATATAACGTATAACAGATTATAACTTTTGGTTGTTTAAACAAAGCAAATCTTAGAAAACTCTTCCTGGCAAGCCTTTCAGATGTTGCGTCAAAACCAACATCAGCTCTTGTCCAGCAAAGATGCTTGATCCGCAGCTCTTTCTGTTTGCCGTTCGCGGCCCGGAACCGCAAGGAGATTCGCACCAGCTCGACGAAGCGTCGGAGGTTCTCTCCCACCAGCTGAAGATAACTTTTTTCTGTGAGGACCGCATCCTCGTAGAACTGGTGCAGCGTCTTGAAGCCGCCTGACTCTCCGAGACCAAGAGACGGGCTGCGAGTCGGGAAGGAGAGATTCAAAGCAAAGAAATCCAAGCAGCATCGCTGCTTTGGGCAAATACTGCAGGTTTAGTGACACTAACAACTGGTTTCACTAGGTGAAAATACGGACTCTCCCAAACTTGACCCGTGGAAAGTCCCCGCCCACACGTGAGATCTCGGCAGTTGAGAGATTTGGGGCGATGTTTTTGAGACGTTTTTTGCGATGTTCGGCGGAGTCCAGGAACTCGCGGGAACTCGGCCTGTTCCAAAGCGAGAGATTTCCACCGCATGTTCCAGCAGAATCTCTCGGAATTCCTCCAGGGGCATCTTTCCTCCGCTCCGGCGGCGCAAGACAGACAGCTGGGAGAAAGAAAGACAGTGGGGTGCGACAGCTGGCAGCTGCCTGTGAAAACTGCAAAAAACCGGCGGCCTGAGGTGGAAGGTGCAAATGTATGCAAATGTGCTGTGTACAGCTGGGTGCGCGCTGGTGTTCCGTGGGTGTAAGACCACAAGCAGCGTCAAGCAGCTATACTTTGGTGGAAACCTAGAGACACTCACTATCACTATACAGAAAGAGATATATAGAAAGAGGTACGAAAAGTTCATAATAGTTCATAAAAGTTCCCTTGGCTTGCTTGGGACCAAACCATCTTCTACTGATTCAACTAATTCTATGATGTTGTATACCCACTTATTCACCCAGTTTTTCGATTGAACCCCTCAGTCAAGGCTCTGGCATCCTGGCTGGATAAGCCGAAGGAGCTGAGCTTGGTCGTTTTGATCGTCTCCTCTTTGAGGACCTGTCCAACGTCCAACAGATCGAGCTCTCGAGACATGGAGATCGAAACATGCGACGCACCACACGACGCACCACGCGTCGCAACGAGACATGCACGGTCCACACGGTCCACACGGACCTGGGCGACCCAATAGATCGACCAGAAAACCACCGTTTCGAAACCGCCCTAATAGATCCTAATAGATTGTGATTGAAGGAATTCGGATTTCACATTGACATGGTTTCACCAGGCGCAGATGACCACTGGTAAGTCCGCGTGAGGCTAAGCGGGCCCTGCCTCAGTAAAGGCGTCCAGATAGAACGTTGGGCCTTTCCCCACGATCATACTCGCGAAGCGCACCGCCCGGAGGTTCTCCTAGAGGGCGACCAGCAACACACGACAGTGTTCGACGATGGGAGGAACTGAACTGACCAAGGGAAATAGCCACGTTCGGAAAACCAAAGAACTAGAAACAGTTTGAGATGTTTTCACAGTCCCAACCACGTGTTATGTAATTAAAGGATCTCAATTGTCAGATTGACCAAAACTGTTTCTGGTTCGGACCGGGTTTCCAGGTGGATATGAAAACCGTTTCATGACAGCTAGCAAAAGCCTCCACTTTTAGTAGGCACATCGTGGGCACAGTGCGTCTTTCAGCGACTGCTGTTTCTTCCGTCGTCCTTGGCCCGACTGGAGATGTGCACCATCCCACTATGTTGTGCAGAGCAGCACAACACTCGTGCGCCCACATAGGCTTGGCCATGGTAGGCTTTGTTCTTCCTGGCGATCGCTGCGAAGCAAAGAATCAAGCAGTGCTTGATCCTTTGATGCATGCATGCTCGGCATGCTCCAAGGAAAGTACATCCAGTTGCAGATCGAAGTAAAAGCTGCGGTTCGGGCTGGTGCAACTGATTTGAAAGTTGTTGCATTTGGGACATGCTTCCCTATAGTGTCACCATGAACCACACCACCCGCGAAAACGCCCCAGCTTGTTGAGGCGTTCTTTTCTGGATCACGCGAGTAAGAGTGGCGCTGGGTCGGTTCCTTTGGGTGCCTGACAAGGGGGAGTGTCTACCCGAGTTGTTGCCCCGCACAACTCGAGTCAGCAAGCTAGAGCAGACTAGCTCAAACAGCTGTTCAGCTAAAAATCCTGCTTCTTGTTGGAGACAGCTGGAAAACTTCCCTATCTCCACAGCAAGAATCAAGAAAAAAAGCCCTCCGCGGTGGAGAAAACAGCTCCCTCCTCGCCGGTGAAAGCGTGGAAACGAGGACGAGTTTCAACCGACCATCCAAATGATCGATGATCCAAGTCTTCGGTTTCCGAAGCGGCTGTGAGTCAGAGGGAAACCTGAAGGTGAAAATACCAAAGGTTGCCGCAGATCATTAGACCATTTTGGATAAGTTGGCATCTACCTATAACTGTAAGTATTCTCTTTTTGAAGAACTTCCTCCTTTTAACCGACACTCCCTTCTAAAAAGTAAAATAGACCCCTGAAAAAAGCCATGCGCGATCGCGCGATGCAGAATTTAGTGAAGCATCGACAGGGTGATGCAAGACACACCGCCCACATCCACTCCAACATGAAGCGCCATCGGAGGAGACTGGGACAAAGCCCAACGGCACAACAATTGACCCATTCCTGGGCGATCCGTGGCGTGGTTTCTCGGGAGATCCTTCGCGTTTTGAAAGAAGGCGTGGAACAAAACATGACAAGTCGTTAAAAGGGTGTTGTGTCTTCGTGGTGTAGCTTGGCCTATCCGAGACCGAACTCGTTTGGAGCAACGGTCTGAGATGTCCCAATGTGACGGAAAAGATCCTACTGTCCAGCTGACGTGGGAACCAAATGACCCGCCATAGAGACCAAAGCACCCCCCACATGTACCTGGGTTTGGTCAAGCTCTCTTGTGCGGGTTGAGGGGAAAAATCTCCTCACCTGCACAGGGCCTGGCTGTGAGTGATACCTTGCCTACATGGTGCAATGCATATTTCATCATGACAAGAGTCCCAATGCTCTTGAGTTTTGCGTAGTTCAAGCCTTCAGTTTAGCATGATCGTGCTGCTTGCTGGCCAGGGTACGGCACATCATATCTGCGGTGGTCATGCCATGCTCAGCATTCCTCCCCAGTAAAACACCACTAGTAGGTTCCCAGACTAAGAGCTTCGCATTGAAGAATTGGGCCTGGCAGGTGGAGGTTCCAACGACCTCGTTGGGATCAGTTCTTGAGGGTGAGGGTTTTGGGAGGTCGGGTCGGTCGGGTCGGGTCCCACCAGTTCGTGTCTGGTTCTTCTGAATCCCATTGAATCCTTAATTCCGCAATTGAATCTCGCACCCTTTCTCCAGTGGTTCGGTGTGGAAGTAAGTGGCTTTGTTGCCAAGGGCATCCATCGAGATGGGCTGGTGCTGGAAGCATGCGGCACAGCGCATCTCGAGCGACCAACTGGCAAAATAGTTGTTTCAGGCCACATAGATTAGCTGGCCCCATCATGCGGTTTGTTTTTCTCCGAACGTTCCACCTCATTCTTTTCAAAAGATATGTTTCTTCATCTGCTGCTACTGGCTTCTTGTCGTCCGCGTCGCCACCTCGATTCATTCTTCGTCCATCCCTTCGCCAAAACCCAGGGCCCCTCGACGTTTGACTTCCGCTTCTCCCGACCTGCTTCTGGACTTCCGCGTGCAGGTGGCTCAAATGCTCTGCGCGCACGCGGTCGGCACTTTCTTTGGCCAAGGCCCAGGCGAGACAGCAGTAGAACTCATCCACCCTCACCTCCTTGCGCTGCCAGCGCTCGAGTTCAGCCCAAGCAAAACAAGTTATTCCCTGACAAGCCTCTTTGCTGTGCATGGTTTCATGCGTTCACCTGAGCAGTGAATGGTTGATCTGTTCTGATTCCCAGCGGAAGCCGATTGGGTTACAGGGCTTTGCTGAGTACAGTCGCTTTTGATTTCAGGTCACCAGTGAAGGGATCGACTTTCCGCCTCCTACGAAGAGTACGTACTCATGGCATCCAACTCCAAACGGATCTGAATCGTTCGGAGTCGGCAAAACCCCAACCAAATCAAACTCCCCAAAAGGGATGCCTCGTCTTTTCACCACAAAACGGTGTCAAAGGGATCCCTTCAGCCACACTCCCTCCAGCTCCTCGAAGGGGTCCGTCGTCCGATTCTCCTCATCACGCCCGTCCTGGTCATGGCGCGAAGCGAATTTGGGACCGTCTTTTGAAAGTCTGCAGCTTCGAGGGGAGTTGTGGGGTGTGTTGTTCTTGTGAAAGTCTAATGATGGCCTCCAACCTACCAGCGATGGCCTCCAACCTACTAGCGATAC